ACAGTTTTAAATTTCTTCAGAAAATCATAGTTGAATAACAGAAAATCATATTCTATCACATAGGGACAGGACCACTCTGAGGAGGGCTAACAGATGCAATCAGTGTCATGAGTTTGCCCCTTTTTATAAGGGGCCTCATCAGCAGTGGGTGTATTGTGGAAATAATACCGTGAGCCACAAGCCCCAAGGCTTAGTCATTCTGAGGTTAGGGTTTTTATTGACACTCTTTAGCTGAGAGCTTTTCCATGGGATTATGAGACGTATGAACCCCAGCCTTTGGATGTTATAACTAATGCCTCGTTTTCTCTGCCAGGCTGCGTTTTCACTTTCTTCTAAAAAAAAAAATCAATGTTAAGATGCACCTGGAATAAAAGAAAATGATCCGTTCATTGATTCACAGTATAAGGATCCTCTGATACCTTGCTGGATTGTGTCACCACACGTTGAGTTGTGGGCTTTATTTTGCAAGACACTTGACATATCCCCACTCCATCAGCATCTGCCTGTGGCAAACCGAGGGGCAATGTGCTTGCATACTTGTCAGGTGATCTGCCCCCGGCCTTCAGCTCTTCCGTTTGAGGGACAGGGAGGCCAAAGACAATCCTTTTGTTTTGCTTCCGGAGCAACTTCACTGAGCAGGAACACAATTCTCCACTCTGTTGTGAGCTTTATAGTCCTGGGTGCCTGGGCTATCTTTACACCTTAAGGAACCATCCAGGAAACAGAAGCGGCATTTGTGGAATCAGTGATTAGTGCCAAGTAGTAATCCTTTTGATGTCCCATTCATTGTGTTTTATTGTCCCTACATTATATTTTATCATCAGATGTGATTGACTTTAAAAAAAACAACCCTTGAATATTGATGCAGTATAAAGTGTCTTACTACTGTTCTAAGGGTTTCCCATCCTTGGAGGCAAATAATACTAAAGATATGAATTATGCATCTACCGAGAAGAGTAGTTGGTTGCTTTGAGCTTGATTACAAACTGATAAAAATAACAAAAACACATGAACACAAACAGCTATTGATAATTCTCTCTATGAACTGTGAACTCCAACCCCGCAGAATGCTGCCCAGAGAGTAAAACACTGATTGCCATTATTGCAGCTTTTTAATTGTAGGCCCCAAACTGCCTCCACTCCCAGCCTAATTTTATGTCACTAATGGGAAATTTACCTACAATTGCAGATTGTTATTTGGTCTAAAGGCATTACGCAGAGTGGAGTGGCACTCTCTATTTTAGTGAACAGACTTGTCTGGATATAAATGGTTTTATTTATGTTGTGCTCAATTCAATCATGTTAACATTTGTATGAATTTCAACCCTAAAATAAAGGCCCATAATTGGTGACTCAAAAGACCTTGAAATGCCTGAGCACCAGGCGTTCTCTAAATGTTTGCAGACGATAAATTCCTTGGAAATAATGGAGATGATTTAGGAAACAATGCTCACTCCTGCAATGGGACTGGTGTGGAGGGTTTTTTTTTTCCCCTCCTTCTCCAGAGAAATTCAAAATGTAGCTGGTTTTAGAGTCCAAAGAGCCCGTCACTTGTTTTCTCAGTGGTCTCATTTGCCTCTGGGTTCAACATTAGATGTTGAATCCAGGCCTGGTGTGAGGAGCCCATGCCCTCTAAGGGCCCATCCTGTCCAGGAGAAATAGTGGCCAATGGGCCCATCCTCAGGGCAATAGTAACAGAGCTGAGTAGGGGAGGTAGGGCTCTAGGAGCTAGGCAACCTGAACAGTGAATCCCAAGTTCTACTCCTGGTTGTTCCCAGCTCCGGCCTTAGAAAGTTACTCTCTTCCGGGCTTCAGCTCACTTCTGGTTAAAATGTGATTACTGTTAGTTGCTGTCCAGCCAGCTCTGGCTCCTGGTGCCTCTCATGCGTAACAGAGCTGAATGTTTTCTAATCTGGGGCCATCTTCACGGTCACTGTGCTTTAGTCCATTGTTGTAGCTATTATGTCCTCCATTAACACTTGACCACGAGCCCACGGAATCTTTGTGTATTGGATGCCAAGGAAGGAGAATTGTATCTAAGGAACATATTTCCAAAGTGGGTTAACAAATGCAGATTAAATGCAGACACTCTTAGGAGAAAAGGCCTATTAAGCCAGGGACTCTACATCACCCTGCCTCGCTGGAGCAGCGCGTCCTGTAGGAGATGGGCGTCTAGCAGGTCTGGCATGTGCAGGACTCTGGGAGGTCGTTAAGGAAAGAACACTGCTTCAAGCAACTGCACAGGTTGGTCAGTATGGTGTGAAAGGAAAAGCACACGCCGCCCCCCCAATTGCCTGAGAAAGTGCCACGCTTCCGCAGCTCCCTTCCAAGCTGTAGAGACCAATCTGTAGCTGCTACTCTCTGTGGAGGTATTAAGTGTTGTGCAAACACCTGTGTGTCTCTCATTCCAGCCCAAATAAGCCCCCTTCCTGTTCCTGAAGGTAGTGAGGAATCTACCTCCATGGAATTACTATTTCTGGAAGAGTGATTTGCCCATCAGTTCCCTCTCCCTGTTTTAGGCCTTGCTTTAAAAAAAGAAAAGAAAGAACGAAATTAGGTATAATTTACAAACAACAAAAATGTGGGCACATCAAGTGTTTGGCCTGATAAATCTTGACAATTAATATATCTATCCACCTGCCAGCCAGAGCAAGAAAGTTCCTTCACGCTCCTTCTGTGCCAGGGAGCCACTGTCTGCCTTCGATCACTTACTTTAGTTCAGCCTGTTCTTACATTAGGTAGAAAGGAAGCGATACAAACAGAGCCTGCTTTGCCCGACTTCACTGTGCAATGTCCTTACAATGGAGCACGGCAGGGAGAACTAGGACTGAACAAGGGCGACCACTCACTGCCCTCGTTCCGTTCTGCTCCATGGCAGCCCAGTGGGACCGTAGAACTGCCCCTGTTGCAAGGTTTTATGGGAACAGAAAGCCTCATCTTTTGCCTTTGGGAGTGGATGGTGGTTTCAGACTGCTGACCTTGTGGTTGACAGCCCAGCTCATAACGCACGATGCCACTAAGGCGCTGCTGCTCCACAATAGAAATGACTGGGCCAGAGGCACACATCACACGGATGAGTCTCCTGGAGAGCTAGCCATTGAGCGCTAGTCCTGGTCCCTTTCCAAAGGTTTTCATAATGTCCCGAGAAAGCACAATGGCCCACAGCCCCTGCTGCTTCCCATCCTTGCTTGTCATGATGCATAGTTGCCTACCGCATCCCCTCAGCCACATTCATATCATAAAAATCACTTGTTTTTAGAATTTATTTACTTAGTATGCAACTCATGGGCTATCATAATACTGACTTTTGAAAGAAAGTGAAAATTGTGGTGTGATATGAAAACTGGGAAACCACCAGTCATAGTACCCTTTTCTGTATGTTCCAATGACTGCGGAGTGAAGGAGGCAGGGCACAGAGCGAGGCTCCCCGGGGTGGCTGTCCAGTGGGCCCTGAGTGCTCCCTCCCTGACTCCTCCTACACGCCGTGAGCACTTTTCATTGTCATGAGAGAGCACGTTAAGAAAACTATCCCCACAAGAAAACAGCTTTTCTTGGCAAGCGAAATACGACTTCAGGAGCCAGAACTGGAGACATACGGTACTATGACTGAGAGCTGTGTTACTTGATTGGATCTGAGTCCAGGCACTATTTACACTGCAGCATATTCAGCACCAGATTGTCAAATCTTAATACTGAAACAGTGCATCATTTTAATATTTTTGTTCTGTTTATTCCCTGTTTTCAAGCATTACGTCAAGCATTGTGCATTCATTTATGTCACCTTGGGCAGGACGTGGCCTGACCAGGATGTTCATTTCCTATTATTAGGCTGGCACCCCAAGCTCTGAAGCATTATCTTGTGAAGCTTTGAAATGTTGACTCAGATGTACAGGTGTTCTCACTTGTTGGTGATTAAAAAAAGAATTATTTTTTAGAAGAAGAGCACAGTTGACCTCACCTATTTTGTCAATAATAATAATAACAGTAATGGTGCTCTTCTGTCTCCAAAACATCCATGTTTTCTTTATGTGTGGCGATTTTTTGACATCCTGGGGACCACTGAAATTTTCATCCTGTACAAACAGCATTTTGTTATGCAGTGCGGCTCGCGATAGGGATTTCTGTATACTGTTTCTTTACCAGTATGTTAAGTGCCCCCAACATGAAGGAGTTAGCGTAGTCTCACATGATGCTGAAGCTGTCCTGCGAATCTCCCTGCTGGCAGGGTATCACTGCTATGGCTGCTCTGCGTGGCCCAACTTTGGCCAGACTTCTCTCTCACCGTTGTCCTTCATGCTCACCCCATGCAGGAGGAAACACAGAGAACGGGTGCTATTATCACTGTACAAAGAGGCAAGCAATTAAAAGAAAAAGGAAGTCAGGAAGTCAAAGGCATCTCTGCTGTTTCTGATTCAGTCTCCATCATCTTGCTATTGGATTTGGCCAAGGGGAGCAGACCCTTTGCCTGCTGCCATGCGGCTCTGGAAGTTGAGCCCTCCCTGCCTCAGCACCGCGCCCCCCCCCCTCTTCTCCCTGGGAATCACCACACCAGTCAGGCCGTCCTGTGTGCCGAGCCCCCATTCAGAAACTCTCCTGTACAATTCAAAACAGAGTCTTGCGTGTACTTAAGGGTTACTTTTTTTGTGTGTCTGTGAAATCAACAGGCCATTATATTTAGCATCCGTCTTAAGTTAGCATGTGAAATAAGACTTTGGGGGAAGCAAGTATCCGTATGGTTTTCTAAGTAATTTAAGAAACAGGAAAACATGGAAGAACTGATTGTCCACACTTGAACCTCATCCTTTTATGCCCATCTTCCTGTAGAACTAACTAACTTAATTGTCAGCGAGCAAGAAATTGCTTATTGCCCTGGGTTGTAAACTATCACCAAGTGGGCCTTGGCTGTTGACTATTGCGTGACCTTCTTAACACTGAACAAACAGTGGGGTGGTTTAATAAATAGCAGATAGGTGTTTATGATGTTTTTCTTCCCTGTGCAGGAATAATCAAGCTGGGGAGGTGGAACCCTCTCCCTCTCAGTTACGTGACAGATGCACCCGACGCGACTGTGGCCGACATGCTCCAAGATGTCTATCATGTCGTGACGTTGAAGATCCAGTTACAAAGGTGGGTGTCTCAGCGCATCTGCCCGCCCTTTCTTCCGCTCAGAGCTGCTCAGCCGTTTGTAGAGTCTCTGCAGAGGTCAGCCCATTCTGTCTTTGTGAATATCTAGACTTTGGATGGAATACATACACAGGTACATACGCACACACAATGAGAGAGAGAAAGAGAGAGAGAGAGAGAGATGCAGAGAGAGAACAGAGGGGCATGTCTCCAGGAATCTTTATAGTCCACATTCCAACTGTTTTATGTTTTGTTTTCAGAAGCAGTGAAGTGGGAACCCAGGGCAAGCTTGATAAATCATTAAACGTCTGCACCTCCGAGAGGGGAACTTTCTGCAGCCCCTAATGTAATGGGTCCTCTAAACCCAGTTAAAAGCTTCACTCATAATATTTGAAGAACAAACACTTCTGACTTGTAAGGGTGACTGTTGCTCATCGGAGGCTTAGCAAGAATGTGCTGACCCCGGAGACCCTGCTCATCCCTCTCTGGAGGCCACCGCAGGGAAAAGCCCCACGGCCTACAGAGGCCCCGCGAATGACTCCGTGATCATATATGCTCTCCAGAACAAGACCTGCCTCAAAAGAACCTACGGGTTCTTTGCAGAAGCTTTGTGGGTAAAGATTTATGGAATGTTGCCCTTTGGCATAAGGGTTTTGAATTTCCCCATATGAGGAATTTGTACATGCATAGAGACCCAATATCCCATCCTTGTGCAGGGTCTTCACTTAAACTTTTTTGGGGTGGGGTGGGCGGGTTCACATCTCTAAATTTTCCTTTCTTAATAAAGTGTGCCAGCTGTCCAAACTTTGCAATTTGGTGTAGCATTCGTATGCCTTGAACCTTAGAAATGTCAAATCACTAAATTTGCCATTTGTGCTGTTTAGAAGCAAAGTGCCTTCCCATTCCTACAGGCAGATTAGAAAACACACACACACACTCTCTCTCTCTCTCTCTTAAATAGAGTTTCTTTATATCCCAAGTGACGTTTTGTAGGCTAGCTTGATAACACACTAACAGAATCCACACGGGATGCTGTCAATGTTCAATCCATCCATTATGTCAAGCACATTTGTACATATGTTGCCATCATCATTCTCAAAACATTTGCTTTCTACTTGAGTTCTTGGTATCAGCTCCTCATTTTTTCCTCTCCCTTCCTGCTCCCCCCTCCCT